CAGTTAATGATATTTCAAACATTGATTAATAATGGGTATCAATGGATTAATCAAACAATCATGTTCATACAAAAAATGACATCTTTCTGGAAGCCAATTCACCTATTCAAATACAATGTTAATGTATATTCAAAACAGTATTATATAACCGTTAAGAACATGCTCATAATCACAAGGTACACAGAAACCATGAATACAATGAGAAAAAGGTTTCAAATCTTTCAGCAATTAAAACTTCAAACCAATGATATTAATATCGTACTGGTCATCAAACCAGCCAACTACTGGTATGGTACAGTGGTATAACGGTTCCACCAGCGGTTGACTAATTAAATCGCATAAAGGTGAAGTTAAATATACATATATTTTATACTTACGTTCATGTTGAAAAATCAATGACAAGACAATAACAACTTTTGTTTATACAATTTGTTAAAATAAAAATATATCGGTTGATGGTAGACCATGTTTTAGTAAAATAAAAATATACTAGTTGTGTGTTTGATCTCCCATACTAACATTTTGGTAAAAATAAGTTATTTTCATTAAAAAAATAATTTTACATGAAACTGGCTGGTATGACCGGTACGGTTCAATTACAAACCGGCCAGTATGACCAGTTTTGGTCGGTTTTTGACTGGTATGATTGCATAATCGGTATAATTGTTATACCATACCAATATTGAGACTGGTTCACCGGTTTACCGGCCCGCACGAACCAGTTTTCACAACACTGCTTCAAACTTACACGAGGGATTGAGTTCTTTATATAGTTTAAACTCAGATTTTCAACATGTTTAAAGTTTTGAAGTTTATATAAATTATAAACATTACCAACATCTTAAAATTCTATTTAGGCACTGCCATATTATACTTGAAACATAATTACAATTGGGAAAACAAAAAGATCAAAAAATAAATTAATCATTTCCATCAATCTTTTCAGTTTTCATACCTTTATTTTTATTTTTTATATGACATTTTCGACTTTAGAACATAAATTGAAGTCATATATCGTTTTTTGTAATGTTAATTGTTAAAAACTTGAACCAGAAAAGAGGGTCATACCATCTCAACAAAATTTCATACCTTTGAAATTTTTGCTATACCAACTCACCCCTAAAAAATTAAAAAACCCACAACGGTGACCATAAAATCAAATATGATCAAAGTAGTCATTTTAGCATCTTTTTATCTGACAGTTTTGACTCACAATTTCCAATTTTTGAGTACTAATTTGGATTTTATTTTCTCTGGGTACAGTAGAAAATCCATAAGGACCAAATTGGTATTCACTCCAAAATAAAAACTAAAGAATGAAAAAAAACCACCAATTTGGTCTCTGAAATTGAGATCGTCATACGTCATTGTAAACAAAAAGATATGTATGTAATTAAGGTAAAGATTAAGATTAAGATGTTCATGGTAAGCATGGTTATGTTTTTTGTACTACCAAGGTATCCTCAGGGTGAGGAACTATCCCTTTTGGGATTTTTGTTGTCCCTTGTGTCACTTCCCGGAATCGAACTCTGACATTTTGGACATCCTGTGATCTATCGGACTTATAACCGAATAATGGAATTAAACTGAAAAGGAAAATTCACAAAAAAAAATGAAACATTTATAGAAGAAAGAGGAACTCACCATCGCCATCCTTATCGAACAAACTGAAGGCTTCCTTAAACTCAGAGATCTGTTCATCGGTGAGTTGATCTGCCATTGTGTTGTTATAATAATAATAACAATAGTTATAATAATAATAATTCTTTGAATGGTTTTTCTATCTTTCTCTCTGTTTTTTCTGAAGAAGAAAGAGAGAAACTGAACAAAACACGCAGCGCTTTCAACGTTGTTCCTAGAAAAAAGAAATCCTTCTTATGAATACACCCACACTTTCTCTTTACCATAAGTAAAGGGGTTGTATCCTCTTTCCTTTTGACCTTTCAAACTTTCAAGATTTAATTATTTATATATTAAATTAGTAAATATAAACCATCATGGGGTTGGTTGTTAAGAGCCAAAATGATTACAAAATATATACTAATTTCATGACACTTTAATTATTTAACCAACTCAAATGAATGATTTCATGCTCTTACATGATAAAAGCTTATTAAATGATCAAAAATCATTATTGAAGTGTTCGGGTAGGCTTAAACTAGATGAATGATATGAAAAGCTAAGTTTTCAGTTAAAGATCAATCAAACTCAACGTAGGAATTAGGCTCAAGTCATGCTCAGTGGAGGAAGACTTGCACCCAAGTCATGCTCGACGGAAGAAGACTTGCGCCCAACGCAACTTTAGTGGTAAGAATATTCAACGAAGAATTAAAATAGTTAGCCTCTATAACTTATACGCTACGCACAAGGCATGCGCTTAGCGCAAGTGGGATGTATGCTCAACATAGAAGTTGTGCCCAACGCGAGCTAATGCACTGAAAGGTCAGCCCTGGCTAGCTGAAGAGTTGCGTGCAGCGCAAGGCGGTACGCTGAGCAGAAAAGTCATCATGCACACACTATTTAAGGAGTTTCAATTCGAGCTATTAAAAACACTTTTGATTTGCATTGTAATACACATTTTCTAGAGTTTTTAAGAGAGTTTAGCTCACTTAGATTGTGAGGACTATGTGTAAGTACTATAAGAGTTAATTTATGCTCATATGTGTGTGGTTCTATCATCCTATGAGTTGTACTTTATCCTTATCTTACGTACATTGTGTGAATATGAGTAGCCAAGTTCTTTATTTTTGGAATTGAATATAATACGAGCATGATGTATACACATTAATTCATTTAGTACTAAATCATGAAGTTTTGATTCTTTTGAGTTATATATGTGTTTAATGCTTGCTTTAAGTTTGATCATCTTATTGCATGAATACTTAGAGAAATCCATATTTAATTCTAAACTTGTATAACTCATTAATTGGTATGTTTACTAGACATAGACTTATATCAAAATTGTCATCTCATGCATGTTCTTCTATTAGTGTCTGGATATAGAACTAATTTTATACATTCATAAATCTCAAACTTGTTAACATAAACTACTAGACATAGTTGTATGTTTAACGGTTCATAAGTCTTAATCTAGTTAACTGGACATAAAACTATTTTAATAAACTATTAGCATAGACCAAAATATTGGCGGTTAATACAAATGATGTGTTGAATTTAACTCAACTTCAATGCATAGACTACTAAACATAGATGTATATTATGTGGGTCATAATTCTTAATATTGTGTATAGAGCTGCTAGACATGGAGCTATATTGCATAAGTTCCTAAATTGACTAAGACATTAGATTTTAGTAATCTTGAGGTTTTGGAAGAATCATTACTAAATAAATTTGTGTTATTGAATCATGGATAAATAATGGTGTAGTTGCAGCCGGACGATTATGAGCTCTTTCCCAAAGCTACAATGAGGACATAATCCAATAGTTTTACACGAATGCGTACCCTCCTCCCGAGACTAGTGGATCCAAGATCTACCGGGTCCGAGGAAAGGTGGTGCCTTTCGATAGGGACATCATTAATGCCTATCTTGGCAACAAATTCACCATCATTTGATATAACTTTTGGAATTGATTTATGTTTACTTTGAAGTTATTATTTTTATTAATAATCTTGTTACACTTAATGCTTATTTTGTGAATGACGATTTTATAAATATGATATTGGGAATGAACTCATGGAGAAATTCTGGTTCCATAGCCATATGCATGTAATTCATCTTTTTTGTATAATGCTAGACGTAGTTTTATCCTTAATTGTCATTTTTCATGCTTGTGCTCATATGATTGCTAGACATAGATTCATATAAGCATCAAATAACTCTCAAACTTGTTGACAAATACTACTATACATAGATGTATGTTTAGCGGTTCATATAATTTAATCTTGTTAATCTAGTTACTAGACACAAAGCTATTAGTATAGACCAAGACATTGACAACTAATACAATTAAGATGTTGTATTTAACTCAACTTCACATGCATAGACTACTAGACATGGATGTATATTATGTGGGTCATAGTTCTTAATCTTGTGTGTAAAGTTGCTACACGTAGAGTTTTATTGCATAAGTTGCTAAATTAAATAAGACATTAGCTTTTAGTGGTATTGAGGTCCATTATTGTATAAGAGTCATTCTCAAATTATTTGTTTGATTTGTTTCAAAGTCTATGAAAAATGAATACCCCACATCGAAATTCCAACATCTTTATTTTATAGAATTTTTAAGTTTTACAAACACAATCGCCAACACGCTTTTGAAAATATCATAAAATAGTAATTTGATTGTTGAAAGACCAGATTTAGAAAGTCTATATGGATACGACAAATCCCTTACATCATACTTGTTTACGACTGTTTGATAATTTCATTACCAATTTGCGGCTAACACTAGGTTAGGTGTCGCGCCCGGATTTTCGGCCACGCGACCTCTTTTGGAGTCGCCACCATGTTTTTTTTGCGGTTGAAACATGGAAAACTCAATTTGAGCCCAAATTGGATAAAAATGGTCTTTTTAATCAGAGATATGGATTCGGGAGTCGATTATGGACTGGGGAAGATATTAGCACCCCGTCCGCCCGTATTAAAACGATACCCTCGTTAATAACATAGACTTTTTATACCCTTAAAATTTATTTAAACATTTAATGATTCGAACAAAATATTTTGTTTTTTTATTTTTGCGTCTGACAAGATATTATCTTGCTCCTACGTATCCCTAGGTGCAATAGGGAAATCAAGACTACGTAGTTCTGGTTTGAAAATTAATTAAAGTTGATTTGAAGTGTCGATATAATTTTATTAACTTTGAGGTAGGATGAAGCAGCAGAAACTAATGTCCGCACCGCATCAAATCTCAAAGAGATTTTAAAATAATTAAAATATAATTGAAATTTATTTGTCTTTAAGATAGATGGAGCAGCAGAAACTAATGTCCGCACCACATCACATCTTAAAAATATTTTGGAAATAATCAAAACAGCTGATAAGAAGTGGATCACGTTATTTGATTTCTATTAATGAATTTTGTAAATACACACATTGAGTTATACAAAAGTAAAATAATAAAAAAATGAAATATAAGACATATTGAGTAATTAATATTACTAAGTAAATAAATAAAAGAAAAAAAAGATCATGGGCCAAGGGCCCGAAGCAAAATAGATTGAGAGGGGGAGGGGGTCTGATTTAGGTTTTTCTTTTTTAGGTTTGGGGATTTTGAGAGGAGAGGTGAGAAGAAGAAAGAAAGTGAGGAGATGAGGGAGAATCGGGGATCCTCTCTCCGGCGACGGCTACTAACACTGTTCCGGCAACGAGTCCATGAGGAGCTTTTCATATCATCATCTCTTCCTCAGCAGCGACGATGACGCCCTGTGGTGCGGAGATGGCGGCGACTCGGTGGCGTTTTTTCTTTCCATCTCGGCTTGGGGTAATCTTTTTTCCATTTTTCGTTTCCCTTTCTTTATTCCACTGTTTCTAATTATTCTAATTTCCTAGGTTTATTTCTGTGTTAAATAATGCATATAACAGAACTGCTGTGTATAATTATTATAACAAGAATCGCTTAAAAATTACCCGATGCGCGTGGTTTGCCTTTATACTTAGTCAATGGTTTGTACGTATCCTTATGAAACTGACTAATCTGGACATATTCAGATTTATGCATATCCAGCAAAAACACATATTCATATTAAACATATAAGGGTTAGAGCAGCAATTGACAAACTTAAATAAAAGAAGAACACCTTATGTATACTCTGAAATTCATATGTTAAATATTTCGTAACTTGAATTTTTATATATTGGGGCAGTAAAGTGTGATGACATTAGAATGACTGATAGGAATCTCCTCTTATGTTTGTTTCATATTTGGGTTCAGTATATGTCACTAGTTAATCTAGATGTATGTAAAACAATCATGTAGACTTAGGAACATAATGCCAATCACTGAGTAAGTAGAAATATATTATTACCAGAGGGGAAAGTTGAATACCTGGATTGATCTGTGTCTTATATCTTTTTTCCCGAAACTGGTTGACGTCCTTTTTGCTGCCCCTTTGGTTTTATGTGTATATGTGGTACCTGTTTCCTGTTTGAACTCTCTACCTTGGATGAATCACTCTCTCTATATATGCTACAGTGTTACCAATATCTCATTGCTTTCTAAATTCACTTTCTTGTCCTTCATTCTGGTTCCTGCCTCTATTTATACTGCTTAGAACTCCTCTCATATTGGTAATTTTTTAATTGCCAATCCACAATTTAATGCCTCTTTATGTCATGATTTCATTTCTATTTTTATACTCTCATTGCCTTATTGTGCTTGTTCCTTTATGGTATGCTAATTAGTACCTATTAATGTTGATTATTACCTTAATGTTGCTTATTAATGCCGCCTAATTGTGTTGGTATTTTTGTGATCCTAATATGTGTTTCCTTAGTGCCACATTTCTCGGAGTTATGTTGATTGGTGGCCTTTTATTGTTTGCTGCTAACCTACTTTTCTTTCTTTTTCAGGGGTTTAATGCCATTTCTATTTAGGTGGAAAGAGATGACATATGTGATGATATATGTGCACCAAAATGAGGGGAGTCTTCCCATTAAAGTGTTTAGCTGAGTTAAGGGGGATATGTTTTTTTTCTTTTTTTCAAAAGCTGAATGTGGTCTCATTTAAGGCCAAATGAAGCTTAGTTGTAGCACCTAAAAAGTTATGGCTGAAATTAGGCATATTGTAGTATTTATTACGACATTCATTTGAATTGATTGGCATTATTGCAGTGTTATTACTGCCTTAATCACATTGATCAGTGTTATTACTATCTTAATTGTATTGATTTGCATTACCGCAGTTTGTTATTGCATACTGTAAATTTGGATGTACTTTATTACGAAATGTTGTACAATTAATCAATATTCTTAATTTTAGCATAAGACCAAAGTAGTCACAAAACCAATTTTTAAACTTCTGTAATTGGTGTATAAATATTTGATATTATTGTTTATTTATTTGAGAAGGTATTTTGGGCCGGACAAAATTGGGTACTCACATTAGGCCATATTTTTTCGTGAACATGTCAAACTAGAGTTTTAAAAAAAGCCCATTTAGCTTAATCGGCCATGATTTAGGTCATCTAAAAGGCATGTATAATACACAGACCTATTTATTATATTGTATAATAATATTCATATTATTCTGTTTTAATATAAGTAATATTATTATATGTGTAGTTTTAATATAAAAATGTATTAAAAATATAATTTAATTGTTAGAGTTAAATGAGTATATTTAATAGTAGACATATTATCCTATTTAAAGTAACTTAAACTAGGCCTTAAACATTGGACTGTGTTAACTTAAATATAATTTGCAAATTTAACAGATTGAACAAAGAATAGTAGAGTTCAAGGAAATGAATAATTTTGATCATATGTACTTGTGTAGTGTAGTTACTACAAATAGAGATTTGATTTCCAAGATTCTATCTTACACTCTATCTCGTGCCAAGAATAATAAAACAAGAGAATTTTTAATTAACATAATATATTTTGTTTAGTAAGAATATACATCACTTACTAGATTCTAGTTAAAAGCACAGTTTTCTAATGCAAGTCTGAAAAGGAAGGGTATACAAGCATCCTAATTCCCCAACAATCTCTTCAATCAAATCCTTGCATATATAATTCTGCAATGCCAACCCTATTCTTCCAAGCTCTCTCTTTTCTCCCAAAGTAATGTCCCCACACACTTCATCTACACTCTTTATCATTGCTTTGCTACTCCACATAAATGAGTCATCTTTGTCATTGATTTTCTTACGTATGAACTCATTGGTCATTCTCTCCTTCATATATGCACTGTTGATTTCTTCCTCTCCTGGCTTCTGCATTCGCCCTGTGCATAAAATGGCAATTATCAACATTTATAATTATTAAGATTGCTCATTAATTATATAGCATATGCAAAATTATATGGATATTAAATAAACCGTATTCGAATATTTATTTAAAGGCCAGAACCTGACATGTGCCATTAAAAGAAATCGAGGATTTATATTTAATTTTATTTTTAAATAAAATAAATAAAAAATTAGAAAAATCTAAATCCCCTCACGGTGACACTCATCTTCATTAATGAAGAAAGAAAAATGTGTGAAAAATAAAAAAACACAAATTGAAACGACACTTATATTCTTATCAACTATATTATAATTATACTTATACCCTTAAAAATTGAAGAAAAAAATAATTCTCCCTTTATTTGAGAGGAGTCCTATTATTATTATTTTTCAATTTCTTTGGAATGCTAAGCTATCAGTGTGGAAAAGTAATGCACATGTATCAGGATATAATTGGATATGTTCTCAGGAGTAACTGTTACCTCCAAACATATTGAAAGAAACTGAACAAATAAAAGAGTGTGTTCTTCAGGCCACCACACGCATGAATAGAGGTATATGCAATAGTGCAGTACCAGCGCAGGCAAGCAAGAAAGGCTCTTGGTTGTTGGGGTTGGGTTTTGGGTAGGTGAGGTGGGGTAGAAAGCTAACAAACCCCTGCAAAAGTAGGTTCTTCTGCATGGCCCATAGGAGGTAAAGCTCCAAATGTTTGGTCATCTTTTCTCTTCCCTCTCCTTTTTCTTTTGAACATGTAATTGCACAATTATAAGTGCATTGGTCACATTTTTGATGATTTTTCATGATTGCCTTAAACACAATGTAATCACAATTTGAAACCATGGAGAGAGTACAAATGGTTCAAGATACATATACTCTCCATTAATGGAGAGAGAAATACATCAAAAGTAAAGAAAAGAAACAATATGATGTGACACTTCTACCCCTTAAAGTATAATGATATGACATTTTCCTCCTTAAAACTAAAAACAAAATCTATAACTTATATCTCGATTAATGAAGATGAGTCTCATTCTTAATTTTGATATATGTTGAGAGTAGAGAGACATTTATTTAATAATAGCTGGGAGGAGAATATGGAATTTCTCTCTCTATATGGCAAAAGATACATTGAAAGAATACTTGAAGAAGAGGAATTATTATTCATTGTTTTAACTTTTCATTAAAACTTATTGCTGTAAATCACTGTGCTAAATTCGGTAAAGGATGAGTGCACTGGCTAGATGAAATTAATTTGTCCCCACTATGGTCATGATGGTGTTGAACAAAGTTACTATGATTTTAAACTTGGAATCCTAAAAATCATAGATAGTTGCGTTATGTGCTTTTCTTATAAACATCATGGTGTTTCCTCTTCATGGGTAGTGAATCCTACATTACCAGCTTAGGGATCGTAAATGCCTTCATAAGAATGACAATTACTTTGATTTAATTTTAGAAGAAAAAAATGTTATATCCTCATTTAAATTATCCTACGGTATATTATGTTAAAAAGTAATACTTTGTTTATGATTGATTTGTTTAGAAGTGACATATGTCACTTTCTTATACCGTAAGATAATTTATTGGAGAATATATCATTACTAACTTTCTATCAGCAAATCATGTGTGATATGAAATTAAGGGTAAGCAGGATCCGAACTTATCCATTCACCCGATTTGCTCGATCGTGATCAGATCCAAATATGATTATATTTCATCGGGTCTCTGGCTAAGTTACCCGATTAATATTTAGGACCAAGTAAGAGACAATTATGACCCAATGAGTTCCATGATCACATGTTCATCATGTTTGTATGTGCCTATGGTACCATCTCTTTGACCCAAAATTTCATCGATTGTCTAATTTCTTTCATAAATATATACATATATGTCAATTATGACCCGCTATTGAATGGGGAGGGTCTGGGTATATATATTACACACACACACACACATATATATATATATATATATATATACAAAAGTTTTGGACAAAATTAACCCTCCTATTTTAATTATGATAAAGTTAGCAATAAAGATAGTTTTATAATTTCCATTTCAAAAAATTCACCCATCATCCCTAATCTCTCCCTCCCCCGTTAACTCACTCATCCTAAAACACCAAAACCATTCACCACCACTAAACCTCCCCACACCACCGCATCATCGCCGCAACACACAACCGCACCATCGCCGCAACACACCGCCACATCTACCGCATCGCCGCAACACACCGCACTATCGCCACAACACACCACCGCAACGCCGTTGCACACCGCCGCATCGCCGTTGCACACCGACACATCGCCCAACGCACCACCGCATCGCCACAACACACCGCCACATCGCCGCACACCGTTTCATACCACCTCATCGCTGCACACCGCAATTGTAAGTGCAGAATTTTGTTTGCAATTTTAGCATAAATAACATATGAAGAATAACAAATTGGTTTCTATCATGCTGAAAATTTTGAAGATTATATTCCTTACGAAGGACAAACATTTAATAGTGATGAAGATGCTTATCACTTTTATTGTTTGTTTGCAAAGATATAAGGATTTTCTGTTAGACGAGATCATGTTTATCGATGTGGCGGTGTGTTGAGGCGGTGTGTTGCGGCGATGCGGCGATGTGTTGCGGCGATGCGGCGGTGTGTTGCGGCGATGGTGCGGTGGTGTGTTGTGGCGATGGTGCGGTGGTGTGGGGAGGTTTAGTGGTGGTGAATGGTTTTGGTGTTTTGGGATGAGTGAGTTAACGGGGGAGGGGAAGGTTAGGGATGATGGGTGGATTTTTTGAAATGGAAATTATAAAACTATCTTTATTGCTAACTTTATTATAATTAAAATAGGAGGGTTAATTTTGTCCAAAACTTTTGGTGCACAACCGCTTTCCCTAAGTTAGCAAAACCTATATATATATATATATAAATCAATTTCCTTATTTTCTAATTTCTAACACTAACAGCTACTCTTCCTCCCTAAATCCTAATTTCCTTATTTTATTTATTCTCCTTATATATATATAAACACAACTCAATTTCCTTATTTTCTAATTTCTAACCCTAATAGGTACTTTTCCTCCCTAAATCCTAATTCCCTTATTTTCTTTATACTCCTCATATATTATATACACACGTAACCCAATTTCCTTATTTTCTAATTTCTAACCCTAGTTACTATTCCTCCATAAATCCTAATTCACTTATTTATTTTTATTCTCCTCATCTTATGTCTTCACCAGAGTCTCACTCCATCTTCATTTTCTCTCCAGCGTCATAAGTAATTAGAGGTTAGTATTCTTCAACTTTATATATATCAATAATTTTTTTAAGGGTTTCAATTATACTAATATTCTTATTTTCTATAATAACACAATGAGAATTTAGACAATGAGACAATGTACACCTAAAATGCATGTTTGTCCCTTTTATATATATATATACATATGACTCTCTCAATAATCAATATGATATTGTTTAGTAATATTTAGTAATATGATACTAGTTTTCTCACTGTCGAGAAGCAAAATTTAGTAATAAAGCTCTGTTGTGACTACAAATGAATTGCTTGAACTTTAGCTGCATATGAATTGCTTGAACTTTATTCTCATTCTTTTTTAATATTTGTTGAGAATATTTAGTAATATGACTTTATTACTTTTTATATAGGTATGACTTTTTTATCTTCAAGATTGGTTATTGACTAATATCAGAGGTAATGTAATTTATTAATTTAATTATTCATGTTTAATTATCCATAAATTATAAAACTATATTTTGATACCTATATTCTTATGTTTTCAGGATCTTCCAAATCAAGAGAGGACTTCAATTTATTACAAATATTATACTAAATGATATCGATGATGATGTTAGTAAATTTATTGATGTTCTTATCTATAAAATTAATTGTTATATCTTTAAATTGTATATTTTTATTTTGTAGGAAGCAATTATTCCATGTGTTGTTGATAGAAGGATCCTAGACATTTGATGTATTATTGTCTTATTTTAAATTATGCTTTTAGTAAAAAAAAA